TTTCTGAAGAAGGGTCTAGGCCCGAAACGTCAGCTTTCCTGCTCCTCTGATGCTGCTTGGCCTGCTGTGTTCATCCAGCTCTACACCTTGTTATCTCAGATTCTCCAGCATCTGCAGTTTCTGCTATCTCTAAATATTACTTAATGGAGAAAGACCACAGAAAGCAGAAAAGGAGTTTGGCTATCCTTGTGTATAATTCACAATGATCTAGCATACAAGCTTAGCAGGTAATAGGAAAGACAAAATGAATGTTGGCCTTCATTTCAAAGGAAATAGAGTGTAAAAATACAAAAGTCTTCTGAAACAATACAAGGCACTGGTCAGACCAAGCCTAGAATGCTATGAACAGTTTTTGTGCCCTTAGTTAAGGAAATATATACTGGCACTGGATGCAGTCCAGAGAAGATTCACCAGTTTGAGAAGATTCACTAGGGTAATCCTGGGCACAAGGAGATTTTATGTGAAGAGGTTCAGTAGGTTGGGTCTGTATTCCTTGCAGTTTAGGTGAATGGGTGGTAATCTTATTAAAACATGTAAGATCCTTGGGGTGCTTGGCAAGTTAGATGCTGACAGTCATTTCCCACTATGGGAGAATCTAGGGCCACAGAACATAATCTCAGAGTAAGGGGTTGTCCATTTAAATGGCAATAATGAGGAATTTCTTCTCGGGGCAGTGATTCTGTAGAATTCTATATTGTAGAATACTTTAAAGGCTAGGCTGTGAAGTATATTCCCAAAACTGAGACGGACAAATTTTCAATTAGAAACAGAAGCATGGGCTTTGGGGAAAAGGCAGGAAAGTGGAGTTAAGGTTATGAGATCAGCCATGATTTCATTGAATTCCAGAACTGACACGGTGGGCCAAATGGCCTACTTCTGCTTTTATGCCTGATCATCTTACGATCTCTGGCTTTACTTGTTTTGTTTTCTTGATGCACATTAAAAATCTTTGCAAATACACATGATTGATTTCTCCCTTGATTTTATTAAATGGCCTTTCACTTTGTAATATTGCAGAAATTATTAAATTAAATAAAATAGATTTTGCAGAATTTATCACAAATTCAACGTTTCCACAATTTCTATGAAACATAGACCACAAAACTGTCAGATATAATATTTAATAAACAAAAAATAATTCATTAATCCCAATGAAATTAGTTATGTTGTGCTATTACAAGATTCTTACTCCTGAAGTGGATTGAATTCTATCAGTTTACTTTATATTGTTACAAAGAAAACTGGAAGTGCTTCACTACTGTCTTTGTTTTGTAAAAGGGAGCGTATGCCTAAGCTTTTGTCGTTCATGGGAATTTTGTGATAACTCCTCTGGGAGATCAGTAAAACTTGCTAGAAATTGCTGGGTCTCAGCTGTGCTGCATTTCTGTTGTTCCCGACCTCCCAGCCTCCTATTCCAGGACCTCCTGATTTCCTGGTTTATTTGGAACACATCACTGTTCTGAATCCATTAGACTAAGTGAAACGAATTATTCTGGGCTCTATTGGACTACTCCTGGAAAGACAATCATAGAATGAAGCATTTATCTTAAATATCTAAAGAGCCCCTTAATTTTTGCTCTGAGGAAGACTTGGCTATTGTCCACTGCACCAGAAGCTAGATGTACTGCATGGACCAAGAAGGATCTGCAGCCAAATGCAGCAACACTTGGATAATATCGAGCTTTGGGCTATTAAGTTAGATCACTTCCCATTGACTCACAAACTTGATTAGCCTGCAGGCACCAGATAAGTGCAATGCAGTATAATTGTGTCCGAAAGATATATCATGCAAAATACTTCAAACTGATTGGAACTTAAAATTAAAGGAAACATTACAGTGATTCTGACAGCTGCTGACATTTGTCATGGTGTCAGACTCTCAGAGAGTATTGGGTTGACAGAAACACAAACAGAAATTGCTGGAAAAGCTCAGCAGGTCTGGACCCGCCCTTTGTCTTCAAAATTCCTGATCCACCTGGACCCCTCCCTCGGGTCTCTTATCTTTACCTGGTCTTTATATTAAGAGCTTTTAATGTGATACAATCTGTAACGCATTATTCGTTCAAATCTATTTCTATCTGAACATAAAGTACATTGTTATCTCAAATCCAACCAGGAAATAGTCATCAAAACTGCTAGCAAGAGCAGGGTTGTTGTGATTTGGTCCTGCTTTTCCTTGATGTTCATCTTTAAAAACTTTTCATATGTAACATCGCCCTTTTCCAGAGAAAGATGTGCCTTTAACTCTTCTTCCTGCATTGGTGCTGCATGACCTGCTGAATGGTTCTAATATTTTGATTTCATATTTCCACCATCATCTTTCTGTCTTTATTTTTATTCTGACAACCACAGGGAGTACTGATTTATCAGAAGATCTTGGGCTGTGATGGAATAATTCTTCCCTGTTTGACTGCCAGGCCTGAAATATAGCTGTTGTAAACATGACCGGCGCTGTGACAAAAGGAAGCATTTTGCTTCTTGGGTATGTACGAGCTAGATAGAACACCCATTGGGAATAGATGCACCTTTTGTTAAATATTTACATGGATTTCACATTCACGACAGCTTAATTTTTTGATAAACCATAAATCAGATAATCGGGTACAAGAAATTCTTGCGATAATATAGTATTTGACAGGTGGCTAAATAATGAGTAATAATTTAGAAGTGATTAAATTATATCCACTACTTTTTCTGAACAATCTATTTAAATTAAACTTAAAAAAAACTTCATGGTAGACGTGATTAGTAGCTTCTTGTTTCATACTACCAATGTGATTCCAGGCTCTCTTAACCTTCAGCTGTGAAATGGACAGCCTGAATTCTGTAGGGCAGAACATTTGGCTGTGACTTGGTGTGCATTTTAACCACTAAAACCAGGTGGGGTTGGGAAGTAACAATGTAAAAAATCTTCTGAATGTCACTGCTGTTTATCAGACAATCAGTCAGATATTAGCCTTAACAGTATTTTTGAGTAAGAGTCTGATGATGTGAAATTTATAGGGATGGTACAAAGAGGAAGAAAACAGCCAGAGTATGGTCAAACCCATGGTCACAGAGGTCTTATTGAATGTCATGGCAGGGCCCTCACTGGGCACAGTATTAAGGTCCTTGCTGCCTGGTTTGGAACCGGGGCCACCTTCCTGCTCCCAAACCACTGAAGCTCTTAAGTGCTCAATTATGGGGGTGCTCAGATATCCCAATATCTGAAATTGTGAAAAAGGTGGGAGGTGAGGGTGCTATTTGTTAAAGTTGCTTTCTTTATGTGCAATGCTCCTTTAACTTTCACACCATTGTGGGCAGGCAGAATGACAAGCTGGTTAGTATCAAGTATCACCTTTGGATATTGTAAAACACCCATAAAATTCAATGTTATTTTGGGTTACAGTCAAAATGATAATGTACATGTGCCTGAAACATTACAATTTACATGCAATAAAATAAACAATTTTTCAATCACATATAAGTATTTAATATTAATACATTGCTATACGTCAATTGCACAGTGTAAAACATTATAATTATTGACATTTAGGAAGTCTTTTAATTACCAAATTACCTATGTAAGAAGCACCACATATGTAAGACGGTCAACTACAAATGATCCTTCTATCAATTTGAGTCAACACAGACAGGTTTGCTTTCACGAAACGTATCCCTCATGTTGACTGGTTTGCATAACTTTTTCTTTACTACTGGCAAAAACTATTGGCTGCAGCTCCACTCATTCAGTGCAGCAATATGCCTTCCAATGTCAATACGGGCTTTAGCTTCTGAATATCATTTTCTCTCTCTAACTGCCTTTAATTTTAATTCAGCACCATAAAAGTGGATTGACGTTGGTAGAGGAGAAGGAAAACTGTGTTAACATTGCAATATCGAATAAGCAGCGTGCAATAACAAGTGACAGCAACAATTAAATGAATTTCCTAACACTTGAGTTTGCAGGGGCTAGTATTTTTGAAGCAGTTGTTTCATTTGGAAGAAAATCAGCCAGGACAGATCATGTGTATAGCAAATAACATTTCTCTAAGAAAACTTTGGTTGCTACTTCTTATCCCAAATATTGATACAAATAGACACAGGTGAATATATCTGGCATTGCTATATTTTAAACATAAAAAATCGTGGTGTATTTGCTTACCCTGGAACACCTCCAGCTTCCATGTGATTTGCTAGGGTAACATCATGTGACCAGACATCATACTGCCATTTCTGTAATCCAATGACTCCACAAAGAACATTCCCAGAATGTACTCCTACACGCATGTTTATATCAACTCCTGTGGCATCCCTTACTTTCCTTAAAAATAAAAGATACAGATGACTAATGAATAACTTCACTCTCGAATGAGATCAAATGAAAAGTAAATCCCTGGTTAAATGTTACAGGATTCTAACGATGAAAAGTCGACGGCAGAGCTGTTCACCAAATGCAGAATGAACTTTCATATTCACTACTGGGTGGAAAATAAGGAGATGCTGATTGGTCACCTCTGTTTTCATACACCCGCAGCTATTTATTTATGAGCTGATGTTTTGAAGAAACCACATAATGTTGTGTGCTGCAATTGAACTCTAAGTTATCCATATATAGCCATCCACAGTTTTGTTACATAGATGAAGCCCAAGGGTTAACCACAAGTGAGCTAAGACCTCTGTTTTCAATTCTAACTCTCAAATTTGCACACTTTGATTTAGTTTGTGGAGTGCTGCTAATTTCCAAATCAACTTAATATCACAACCTTGCAAGAACATTCACTTTAAATTTACTTATTCATTGCATTTGTGTTTCCTGGAAGTGGACTCAGCAAACAATCGCTATTGAGATAGCCCCCTTTATCTACGATCATGTGCAAATTGCATCTGAATGTAAATTCTTTTAGGGAAGTAATGATCTGATGGTAACATTACACTCCAATCATTTGTAATTATTTTAATAAATATTAATTCATATGTAAATTATATCATCATTAGTCACTTTGTAATTTTACACCAACCTCAAAAACTGTGACTTTCAATATGGTATTCTGTTTGATCTGACTTGGCATGTTATATAGTTCTAAAGTAAAGAGGGACTTTCTCTCCTTTGATGATCAAAAGCTTTTTATTCAGCTCTGCTGGAGGCAGAAAAAATGTTTAACATTCAAATCGGAAGGAATGACACAGCAGGATATGCAGCCAGAACTTCCATTGCCAACAAAATGTAAGACCACAAGTAGACTAACAAAAAGATCTGAGTGACGTAGGAGTTAAAGGCTCTATCAATTATTATCGCGGATAGCTAGCTGTCACCACCTGCTTTCAGAGTTTGTTGTAACACATTCAAACAATGTCGGCCAGCACTTCCTGTCCCATCCTGAATTTCCCTCGAGAAGGTGGTGGCGAGCTGCCTTCTTGAACCACTGCAGTCCATTTTGTGTAACTATACCTACAATACTATTAGGGAGGTAGTTCCAGAATTTTTACCCAAAGATACTGAAGGAACAATGATGTATTTCTGAGTCAGAATTGTGAGTGGCTTGGAGGGGAACTAGTAGGCGACAATGGTGCCATGCACTTAGAATCCCTGCAGTGTGGAAACAGGCCCTCTGGCCCAATAAGTCCACACTGACTCTCAGAGCATCCCACCCAGACCCATCCCCCTATAACCCACTTAATCTACACATCTATGACCACTACAGGCAATTTAGCATGGCCAATCCACCTAGCCTGCACATCTTTGGACTGTGGGAGGAAACTGGAGCACCCAGAGGAAACCCACGCAGACACGGGGAGAATGTGCAAACTCCAGACAGACAGTCACCCGAGGGTGGAATCAAACCCGGGGGCTGCCCTTTTCCTTCCAGTGTTAGTGGTTGTGGGTTTGGAAGGTGATGTCAAAGGAGCCTTGATAAATTCTTGTAGATGGTATATACTGCTGCCACTCAGTGTCTGTGGTGGAGGGAGTAAATAGTTGTGGATTCGGTGCCAATGAAACAGAGTGCTTTGCCCTGGAAGGTGTCAAGCTTATTGAGTGCTGTTGGAGCTGCATAATCAGAGCAAGAGGGGAGAATTCCATCACACTCCTGACTTGTGCCTTGTAGTGGAAAGGATTTGGGGCATCAGATGGTGTGTTACTTGGTGCAGGATTCCTAGTCCTTGGCCTGCTCTTGTAGCTACAGTATTTCAATGGCTATTCCAATTCAGTTTGTGGTCAATGGTAACCCCAGAATGTTAACAGCGGGGAGTTCAATAATAGTTGTGTCATCAGATGTCAAGGGGCAACAGTTAAGATTTTCTCCTACTGCAAATCGTCCTTGCCTGGTATTTGTATGGCCTGAAAGTTACTTGCCACTCTTCAGCTCAACCTTGATATTATCAAGTTCTTCTTGCATTTGGTCAGATTGCTTCAGTGTCTGAGGAGTTGTGAATGATGCTGACCATTGTACAATCACTGGTGAACATCTCCATCTTTTACCTTATGATGCAGGGAAAGTCATTGATGGAACAGCTGAAGGTATTTTGGCCAAAGACACTACACTGAGGAACTACAGCACAGATATCCTGGAGCTGACATGACTGACTTCCAACAACCACAACCAGCCTCCTTTCTGCTAGGTACGACTCCAAGCAGCAAACAGTTATCCCCTGATTCCCATTAACTCCAGTTTTTTTTAAGAGGACCTTGATGTCACATTTGATCAAATGTGGCCTTGATGTGAAGGGCAGTCACTCTCACACTACTTTTGGAGTTTAGCTCTTTTGACCATATTTGATCTAAAAGGAAATGAGTTTGGGAGCTGAGAGCCCTAGCAGAACCTAAGCTGAGTACCAGAGTACAGGTTACTGATAATAACATGCTGCTTTATAGCATTGTTGATATTATCTTCTATCAATGTGCTAATGATCAAGGGTAAACTGATAGGGTGATAGTTAACCAGCTTTGTTTTTTCTGCTTCTTATGTACAGGACATACCTGGGCAATTTCCACATAGTTGAGTGTTATTGCTATATGGGTAGAGTTTGACTAGGGGCATTGCAAAGTCTAAAGCATGTCTTCAATACAATTGCCTGAATGCTGTCAGGGTCTTCAATGCCTTCAACTATTTCTTGACATCATACAGGTGAATTGGATTGGTTTATGATTTCTCCCGTGATGGTAGGGGCATCTGGAGAAGATCAAAATAGATCACCAACTGGCACTTCTGAAATTGAAAAGCTTTTGCCTTTTCCTTTGCACTAATGCATTTAGCTCCCCAGCATTGAGGATGGGGATGTTTGTGGTGCCTCCACCCTCAGTGAAAGGTTTAATTATTCACCACTATTTATGACTAGATGTGGCAGAACTGGAGAGCTTAGATCTGATCCATTATTGGCGCGATTGCATAGTTCTGTCACTTCCTCTTCATGCTATGTGGCTTGCAAATAGTCCTGTTTTGTAGCTTCACAAGATTAATACTTCATTTCTAGACATGCCTGGCGCTGTCCCTGGGGTTTGATAGTAATAAAGAGGGGTTTGATGGACCCCTGGCTTGATGGTAATAAAGTGGGGGATATGCTAGGCCATGAGGTTCAGATTGTGTTTGAGTACAATTCTGCTACAGCTGATGGTTCACAATGCTTCAAGGAGGCTGAGTACTCAGTGGCTAGCTTTGCTCTAGATCTATCACATTTAGCAAGGTTGCAGTGCCACAGAAATTAATGGAAGGTATCCTCACTGAGGTGAATCTTTGCCTTCACAATTACAGTGCAGTGATTACTCCTACCAATATTTTCATGGGCTAATGAATCTGTGGTAGGCAGATTAATGAGGATGAAGTCAAGTTCATGGTTTTTCCCTTTTGTTGGTTCCCTCATCTCCTGCACACATCCAGTCTAGTCATTATGTCCATTAAGATTGAACCAGTCTGGTCAGCAGCAATGCTGCTGAACCCACTCTTGGTGATGGACATTGAATTTGCCCACTCAGGGTACTTTCTGCACCTTTGCCACCCTCACTGCTTTCTCCATTGTGGTGTTCAATAACAGCAGCACCGATCCATCACCTGAGGGGTCTGGTATGTAGTAATGGGCAGCAGGTTTCCATACCAACATTGATCTGATGTATCAGACCTCATGCGATCTGAGTAAATGTTAAGAACTCGCAGGGCAACTCCCTCCCGACTGTATACCACTGTGTCACCACCTCTACTGGGTCTGCCCTGCTGGTGAGGAAGGATATACCCAGGATGGTGATGATGGTTTCTGGGACATGGTCCGTGAGATTTTTTTTGTGATTATAACTATGTCAGGCTGTTGCTTAACTGCTCTGTGAGACAGCTCTCCTAAATACAGCACGAAGATAATGAGGACTTCGCAGGGTCAACAGAGCTGAGTTTGCCGGTGTCATTTCTTGTGCCTCGATTGATACTGGGTGGTCTGTTCAGTTTCATTCCTTTGAGACTTTTTAGCAATTCATAACAACACCACTTGTCCCTAGACTAGTAATTCAGAAATATAGGTTATGTCTGGGGGCCCCAGGTTCAAACCTCACCAAGGCAAATGGTGAAATCTGAATTCAGTGAAAGAGCTTCTGGAATTAAAAAAAAAAATCTGCCATCCTTACCTACACGTAACTTAAGATCCATCGATGTGTTTGACTCTTAAACGCTCTCTAAAATGGACGAAAAGCCTTCCAGCTGTAACAAACCACTATGAGGTATTCTATCAATAGCCTTTTTGTAGTTCAAATGCACAACACCAACAGCACTATTAACTCTGTTATTTTATCAAAAAGCTCAATCAAGTCTGTCAAACAAATTCACTTCAGCAAATCCACACTGTCAATTATTTTTACACATACTTTTCCAGTATCATTTAACTTTGTCTGAGATTATTGTGTTTAGAAGTTTCATTGCAATTCACTTTAGATTTACTGCGTACTTCCCTGGTTTATTCCTTTCTGTTTCTTTGAACAAGTGTGTAAATTTACAATCCTACAGTCCTCTTGCAGAACTCAATAGTTAAGGAGGATTGAAGATCGTGATCAGAGCCTCTACTATCTCCATCCCTGTATTGCTCAGTATTCTAGGATGCATTCCAATCAGACTGATGAAATTTCTGTTTCCAGCACTATTTTTTGATTCACCATATTGACAACATCCTGTTGTTTAATGAAAACAGATTAATATCTGAACAATGCTTTAACCAGAAGGTCTCTTGTTTGACCCTTAATTGGCCTCACCGTCCTTTAACTACTGTTCTATAATTTTACTTATTTTGTGAAAAAATTCAAATTGAAACATGGAAGTGATACTAGCAAGTCATATCATATGCACAACC